TAAGTGTGACTCTGCAGCAGATAACCACATGGGAAAACAATACTTAAAATGAGGTAGAATAAAAGAAAAGAAGCATCTACGAGTAATGTCATCTTCATAAATCTTCTTACACTTGCAAATTTTGCATAACTTAGATGAAACTGCCAGGGTCATCAATATGAACACGCTGTTGTCTACCTGTCAAAATTTCAGTTAAAATACTTAAAATTTTCCCACAAACACCAATAGACTGCAACTAAACTCCAGAGAGACAAGCCTAGATTCATGACCCTTATCTAAAGCAGACTGCATTACATACACCAACATAAGAATGCATCATTGGAGCCGAGTACCTTTCTAAAACCAAACAGAGTCTCTGGAAGAAACGACGTTTGACCAGCAAACGTTTAAAAACCTTAGATGAAATATGGATAGTTATAATTGTCCAGGAGAGATACCGTACTACTAGAAATAGACAAGTCGATTGTTTAGTGAGTTTAGATCATCAATAGCTGATGTTTGTTTTCACCATAAAAGGCATGCATCAAATGTTAACTTGCATGTAACATCATCACGGAATATTTCAAAATACCTGATATCCTGAGTACCAGCAACACATGTCATTGTATTTTAGTTAAAATGTCCCTCATGAGATTGCAAATATTACTTTCTTAATGTCTATTCTAGGTGGCCTGTTATGACCTTTCCTCTGCTGAACATAAATAGATTGAAAGTTGCATCCTCTCGCACTGATAATTCGTAAGGACAACTAAATTGATGTTCAACTTCACTTGTGATGCTCAACAGCGCTCAGAGGTAGCAAGAAGACACATGAGAGAGACGATATATAAAAGGTTGCCATGGGGAAAATGATGATCTCGCAGGTAACAACAAGGCGAAAGTATCCATGCAGAAACAAGGAAGTCATGCAGGAAAATCGGCGGAAAAAAATGCGATTGAAATATGATATGAACAATGACGTTTTAAGAAATAAATTTGTTTTCGTGTTGCCTAGCCTCCTGTTGCCCAGGCGAGGAGTGCAAGGTCTAAGATAACAAGCTTGCTTATTTTCGTAATGAATACACTATCACATTAATTACTATCTAAAACACAAACACGTGTGTGTGTGTGTGTGTGTGTGTGTGTGTGTGTGTGTGTGTGTGTGTGTGTGTGTGTTGTGTGTGTGTGTGTTGTGTGTGTGTGTGTTGTGTGTGTGTGTGTGTGTGTGGTGTGTGTGTGTGTGGTGTGTGTGTGTGTGGTGTGTGTGTGTGTGTTGTGTGTGTGTGTGTGGTGTGTGTGTGTGTGGTGTGTGTGTGTGTGTGTGTGTGTGTGGTGTGTGTGTGTGTGTTGTGTGTGTGTGTGTTGTGTGTGTGTGTGTTGTGTGTGTGTGTGTGTGTGTTGTGTGTGTGTGTGTGTGTTGTGTGTGTGTGTGTGTGTGTGTGGTGTGTGTGTGTGTGTGTGGTGTGTGTGTGTGTGGTGTGTGTGTGTGTGTGGTGTGTGTGTGTGTGGTGTGTGTGTGTGTGTGTGGTGTGTGTGTGTGTGTGGTGTGTGTGTGTGTGTGTGTTGTGTGTGTGTGTGTGGTGTGTGTGTGTGTGTGTGGTGTGTGTGTGTGTGTTGTGTGTGTGTGTGTGTGTGTGTGTGTGTGTGTGTGTGTGTGTGTGTGTGTGTGTGTGTGTGTGTGTGTGTGTGTGTGTATGTGTGTATGTGTGCGTGTGCGCGTTTATATATTCATATACTTATGTATATTCAGTCACTATAGTCCGTACAAATCTTAAGTTTAAGGTCAGTGATAATGTCAAATTTCCTAGCCATGTTTCAGCCATTCATATTCTGTCAAGTGGAATTGTCCTCTGCATGCAATATCTATAAACATTTGAAAAAATAAAAGATACTAAAATAATTTTACCACATTTTATATATACACTCATACAATGTTTTCTGTAAGTAATAAGTATAAGTAATGTTTATAGAAAGATTCTTTCTTATGTAAGCTACACTTACTGTATTGGTACTAACAACTGCCAGGTACTCTCCATGATAAACGGAAATGCGATCTTTGACATAATGTCAGGAGTGACGTATTTTCGGTAGATCAAAAATTCCGTGTTTGATCTGAAAAAAAAACGGAAAATCGTTAGAAAATAGATTAAAAGTCCTGTTAACACTTTGCACTGCTGGCACGGTAGAAATTAGGGTATTTATCTTGGCAAATGGAAAACTAGCGTTGCAATCCATGGATGTAAAATCACGCAACAATATGTCCCACTGAATGCAGAATTCTAGAGAATATACTAGGATGAATGGGTGTATGGAACTGCTGGATTATGGTTGAGGGTGTTTGTTCTTTATTCAGGGGAACAATTGGTTCAGTTCCTGGTAAGATCAGATGAGATAACGCGTTTCGTCACCATTTAGAAAGCAAATAATAAAATGCGATCTTTTTTTTTAGAATTTATAACTGCATTTTTTTCAATACTAGATTTATTTTAACAATTCCAGCGGCTGCTATTGATATAAATTTGCTAAAAAAATAATAATAATGGTGGTTACCTTTTGTTCAGCGCGTATGTAATGTACTCATTAGCTTGTTTACCTCGTTCACATCAGTATACAAAGCAAAGGAATCGCAATTGTTATCCGGCGAGTCTAGCAGTTATAAAACGCGATCCGTTTAATCTAAAAATAAAGATAAAAGTAATAATATTCCCAAATATATTGGCTTCCCGACATTTATTTACCCCGTGAAAATTACATCTGCTGGAATAGGTTTTAGTAGTTTAATCTACCGAAAGACGTAAACAAGATAAACCTTACTGAATAATGTGCATGATTTTTTACGTAATCCTTGACTAGATTAGGTTAAACAATGAAAACTTGAACAGTGCTTTTGTTATTCATGTTTTAGTATATAGTGTATATTGTAAATGTTGCTGCTTATTTTAATAATATTGTCGATTATTGTTGCGCATTGTAATATTCATTATCGTTAATTACTATCTTTACCACAGTATTACCATAACTGTTTTGAGCGTGAATACGATAGTTATCGCAATATAGTACTTGTCATTACTGTTAAAGTATTCGTAGCTCTATTACTTGATAAAGACTTAACAAAGCCATCCTTGGATTCATCCATTGTTATGTAAATATAGCATGACGAAAGTAATACATAGTATAATAGTAAATAAGATCACAGTCTGCAACCGGATAACATTTGTTTATATAGTTGAAATAGGCTTAAAAGACGGTCATAGATGGCAAGAAGTGCTTTAAATTTCCGAACCTAAATCCTCCTATTAAATATTTTCGGACACAACAGTAAATGCAAGATAAGCACTGCGTAGTTGACAGCTTATGTATATAGTCTCGCTCATCTGGCAGGGCGAGTGAGTGCTGCTGTGGTGCCGGTGTTCAATGTTTTGTATAGATTTACTTTATTCTTAGCATAAAATCATAATATACATACATATTTCCTTTTAACAGAGAATTATAAGACTTTCTTTAACTTGCTTTAAGTGATAGCTTTGAAGGAATCTCGTTGTCATATTAATATAGCAATAGTCTACATCACTGTACGTTATCTCTTCAGGTACACGTTCTCATCTGGATGTAGTAAGATGTCTTGAAGTCTTCATCGCTTTAATTCAAAGCTCATCGCGGCCATGCATCCAAAATCGCTTATCAGTATATGTATAGACCATATAGTCAGTGCCACCATCGCATATACCCAAAGTCATGCTCCAGAGGTAGGTCTATTAGCAGTGAAAACGACGTCTATCGATTTTTTTTCTCGACAAATTTATCATTATGACTCATGGTTAATAAGAGTGTGTGTTGTTCTAAAATAAAAATAGGTCTGAATAATATTTAAATGAATAAGGCAGTGTTCGACTAAAGTTCTCAAATCACAAAAGCCCAGAACAAATTTTTTTGTTTTCTAAGACAAATGTTTACGATCACTGATTTAAGAAAAAGGAGATTAGCTCAAATTAAAAAATAATAATAATATTAATAATAATAATAATAATAATAATAATAATAATAATAATAATATCAATAATAATAATAATAATAATAATAATAATAATAATAATAATAATAATAATAATAATAATATCAATAATAATAATAATAATAATAATAATAATAATAATAATAATAATAATAATAATAATAATAATAATAATAATAATAATAATAATAATAATAATAATAATAATAATAATAATAATAATAATAATAATAATAATAATAATAATAATAATATCAATAATAATAATAATAATAATAATAATAATAATAATAATAATAATAATAATAATAATAATAATAATAATAATAATAATAATAATAATAATAATAATAATAATATCAATAATAATAATAATAATAATAATAATAATAATAATAATAATAATAATAATAATAATAATAATAATAATAATAATAATAATAATAATAATAATAATAATAATAATAATAATAATAATAATAAAATAATATCAATAATAATAATGATAAATTACCGATAATTTAAAGCCTTCCGAATTGGTAGTCTAGTTAAAGGTGCTGAAAAAGATAAGTTACCCCTGATATATCTTGTCATAGAAAACTAATATCGTTTTCTTTGGAAGTTTCATGTATTTCCAGGGTAAACTCAGCAGTTTACAATCCTATTTCTTCGCATTATTTTTTATTGATGATATACACTTTAGATATCATTTAAAGGAAAATAGTCAAACAAAACAAATCCATACTTCTTAAACTTTGCTGCAATACCAAAGTACGGAAAGCTGAGAAGGAATTCCACACGCCAGATGAAATTCTCAGGCGTTTGAGCTATGCATGTAATACCAATGAAATTAATATTATTAAAATGAAATCCTATTTTTAGCACATTCAATATATTAGTGGGCTTTGAAATCATCTTATCATCATTGTGGTTTATTGGAATCCAATTTCTTTACTTTCATATCTACAATAGCTATACCAGCCGTTTCCTTGTGAAATTTATTAGAGGAAGCGAAATATGTTGAAAAATCTGTTTGAATTGCTAAAGATGTATCCTGCCGTTGCAAGAAAACAAATATTAAATTTGTCTGTGCCTATTGATAGTACTATACTGAGTGTGAGGAAGGGGAAGGGACTGACAGGGAGTCAAAATACTTAAATAGTCTTGCTCTTTTCAGAAATAATTATTTCAGAGCGCCCATGTACACACACGGTATAATGAAAGTAATAGTTAATTGTTTGAAGTATTTATCATATAGGGAAGATATCTGCAGCTTACAAAGTCAATAAAAGACATGAAAGACCATATACTTTTTCCTGTTGTGTACGGCTGTGCGAAAGTGAACAAGAAAGCTACAGTTTATTTCATGTCCGTTTGCACTCTAGTTAGTTGCAGTCCGGCAAGAACTTACTTCAACCCTTTCTTTCCTTCCAGGTAGCATGGCCGGACGTGAGCCAACTGTGGGCGACACTCTGGCGTCTTCCTCTGCAGCTTCCTCTTCGAGCAAGTCGCCTCCTCCACGCTCACCTCACATATGACCTTTCTGATGCCACTTTGCCTCTGATGACCTTGTTGGCGGCTGAGGCGAGGAGGATTTCACTCCGTCCCACTGACAGACAACTCGCATCTGCTGGTTTTTCTGGCGTGAGGTTGAAATTCATAAAACTGGTGTCTCGACATGAGCTTCGCGAACTCGATATTACTGGTGTGGATCTTGGTTTAGATACAACACTGTTGGAGAGTCTGTTGCCACGGTGCCCTAGCCTCTGTGCCCTCAAACTCGGTGGCAACACGTCTCCAAGCGTTCTCCGAGCTGCTAGGACTTGCCCCGTCCAAGTCCTCCACGTGAGCGAACGACTCGTCTGGAACCCACGAGTTTCGGAACCGGACCTTATGGAAATATTCTTTGGGTTGACAGACGTTCAAGCGGATCAAATGCTGCAAAATGTCAAAGACGGGAAGCCGCTCAACTTGAAGCCCTCGTGGCCACTTCTAAAAGATCTTTGCGTTGGTTTTTGTAGAGTAAGGTGTGAATTTTTATTTTTAGTACTGACTGTTTTTCAGAATTTGGACAAAATTTCAAGCAAGTTGGTACCTTCTCAACGAGTTCTCGACATGTACTTAAGCTACATGCATAGTTCACCTGGTATTCCAAAACTTAAGCTCAAAAGCTGCACAGTGGTATCGGGAGAGTTTGCAAGAGTGGCCGTCGCGGTCCCCGACTTGGAGGAACTTACGTTGATTCCTCGAGGGGGAAGTGACCACTCGACGGCCGAGGACTTGAAGGCGCTGACAACCCTTCCATCGTTCAAAGTCCTGCGGCTCCACAATCTGCGACACTTCGGCCAAGGTGACCTTTCCATAATATCTGACAGCTTAAAATTGATCGGACCAAAGTTAGTCAACTTAGAACTTCAAGGTGGAAAGGTCAGCGAAACATGTATAGGGTACCTCACACTGGTTCTTCAGAAGTGCCCAAATCTTCAAAGACTTTGTCTAGATTCAAACTGTGGATTCTCAGCCACTCATTCTGAACCGTTAAAAGTTGGCTGCTTAAAAAACCTTAAATCCTTTAAGTGTAGAGCTCCTCTATTTGATCACACGACGTTAATTTCTATGTTTCACTGGTTTCCAAATTTGCAAAACCTGACTCTTGCTGGCAGAGTAAATGGCTTTGAAGAAGTCTTTAAGAACTTAGTTCTCTTGCCAGATCTTAGAGTTCTTAAAGTAACAGTAAAGCAGCAGTTGCCAATTCAAGATATCTGCGAAGTTCCAGGATCTATACGACATAGCAATTGTGAATTTCATGTACCCTCCGCGTGTCTTACGGAAGAGGATATTTCAAAAATTCAGTTTTCTGGTTGGACCTTTGTTCCAATAAGTGAATACAACTCTTGGTAAATCAGATTGTTTGATAAACCGATTAGGGATTTTATACATACAATAAAAAATAAATAATTAAAATGTACTTTTAATACCGGAAAAAAATACCAACCTTCTCCCCTTCTACATGTCTGCTGGTGAAGGTATATTTCTTGTAATTAAAACCCAATTAATGTTTGAATCCTAATAAATCGAAGCTTTACACCAGGGGGAAATAAAAAGTCGTATTATAATATAAATTGTATTAAACAGCAACTGGATTAAATACAAAGAATACTGATAACACGTTTCATTTGGTTTGATAATCGAGTTCTCAAACAAAATGCAACACATGAACAACTGAGCAACAATAACTCGGCATTTTACTCCCTCAGTTTTCCGGGAAGTATCGCTTCATAATTTTTTTTAAACAAATGACTGACGAATCACCGAGATAACATTAGTACGGTTGTTATTTTTACCCAGTAGTTGTTGAAAATATATAAACAACAAAATTTTGATACATGTCTAACATTAGCAACAAGCAATGATTTCCATAAAAAAAAATTTCATAGAAACAATTTTAGTGTTTAATTTTGATATCATTGATGCACTAATCACTGCTTGATTAATCAACAAACTTATACATTATTTTTAGAAATGCAAAAAATATAATTAGATACAGGTAAACAGACTAGATTTTTTAATGACAGGCTATATATTATCCAGTTTTGCACTTATAAAAGTCAAGACCCACAAAAAATAAAACATTTGTTAATGACGATTTCTTTGGCAATCTGGGGAGTGTCCCTTTTAATAAAATTAAGTGCCTTTAATATCATTGCATACTCTGACAGATCAACAATGAAAACCACAAACAGAACAGCAATATATAAACCAAATTGGAAAAAAAACTATGTGGCAACTTCACAGTACGTTGCAGGATCAGATAAAATATATATTTTTGCATCTATAAGTATCAGTAATAAAATTACATTTAAAATATTTATTTATATAGATCTCCACTATATTCAACAATTACTATAACTTAATTTTTATACATATACATCTAGGTAGCTCACATTCAGTAATAAAACTATCCACAAACTTATGTGATAAGATTAAGTTATGAAATGAGAAAACTAAGATAATCAAAGGACTTCGAAAAAAAAAAAAATATATAAACAGTTTAAGCAGTAATTTTCTCTCATGATTTAAATTTTGTTAAACGGACAACGAAATATAAAGGAGGAAGACATGGAACCTAAATCAAGGGATCCTAACTCCCAAAGTGCATTATATATCTCAATGCAGAATCCAGACGGTGATACACAGAAGACTGAGCAGCAAGCAGGATGACGAGGACTGGAGGCCTGCGCTGTAGTCGACATGTTCCTCTGTGTGGAAGACGAAGTGATGAAGGTTTGTGGCGAGTGTGAGATTATATTTTTTTATTTTAAATCTATCTCAAGTTATGGTGCAGATAGTAATGGTTAATGTTTAATAGTTAAAACAAATATGTTAGATATCAAGGTCATATTGAACTATGGTAAAGTAATTGTAGCAAAAAGGGTCAGGAATCTTATTTTGCTGGAAATGTCTATATAAATTGCATTAACTTAGCACAATCTTTATCTTGATTTTATTCCATTCCGTTAGAAACAACTATGGAATTGTTAACTAGAAAAACCTTATTTATATTTTATTTTGCTGGAAACATCTATATAGACTCCATTAACATACCCAAACTTATTTACGATTTGATCTAATTTTAGATAAAATATCTACATAAAGGCAATAACCACCGCAATTTTATTTGAGATGCTATCTAATTTTACTGCAAACAAAAACAAACCGCTCCATACTAGCAAAATCATATTCATGACTTCATAAAATACTATAACCCAAAAAATAGTATCCCTAGATTAATCCAAATATATCCGTTAATCTAACCGAACGTGAATCGATTGAACCTCTCTCCCTTTTACGCAGTCCTCATGTGTCTATATGAATTACTGATTGGATGCGAGATGGTGTGGATATATGTAGATATATGTGGATATTCACTCATACTTTACCTTTCTCCTCTACAGCTACTCGATTAACTTCTTGATTTGCTTCAACTTTTGTTTCGATTTCCTTAACAATCTGCAAAAGAAGAATATATGATAAATATCGTATATGTTTGTTTGTTTGTTTTTTTCAAATTCCGACTGAAATGGTTTTCAATTTCTACATAAAAAATGAGACCTTAAAACGGTCTTTCCCTATCATCCTTTTCAAGACGTAGCTATGTTGTATTTATAAAATTATTCATTTTAGGTAAAAAGTAGTAGTAGTAGTAGTAGTAGTAGTAGTAGTAGTAGTAGTAGTAGTAGTAGTAGTAGTAGTAGTAGTAGTAGTAGTAGTAGTAACAATAAATAATAAATAATAATAACAGTAATAAAAACAACAACAACAACGATAATAATAATGATGATACTAGTAACAATACTAGTAACAATACTAATAAACAATAATAATAAATAATAATAAATAACAATAATAAAAAATATAAATAGAAATATTATTAACAAAATTACCAATATTTACTATAATAAACAATATCAACAACAACAAACAAACGAAACGGCAAAATACCTTTTCCTCCAACCTGACCGTCTCTTCGATCTCCTCCAGCACGACTTCCTCGTGCGCCAACTTCGGTGTCACGGTGCTGGTTGTGGTGGTCGAAGTGGTAGGGACGTCGGGCCCGAGAAGCCTCAGCAGCTGTCTCTCACTCGTGGCCAGCATTTCGTCGAGTTTCTCGTAGTATGGGCAAGTCTGGGGACGAATTGAAAACCCTGAAATATCTGCAAAGGCCTTGTGATTGCCTACATGATCATATCTACTTCATGATGATAAAAAAGGCGAGGGATGGCTGACAGTAAAAAAGGCGAGGGATGGCTGGCAGCAAAAAAGGCGAGGGATGGCTGGCAGCAAAAAAGGCGAGGGATGGCTGACAGTAAAACAGGCGAGGGATGGCTGACAGTAAAACAGGCGAGGGATGGCTGACAGTAAAACAGGCGAGGGATGGCTGACAGTAAAACAGGCGAGGGATGGCTGACAGTAAAAAAAAAAAGGCGAGGGATGGCTGACAGTAAAAAAGGCGAGGGATGGCTGACAGTAAAAAAGGCGAGGGATGGCTGACAGTAAAAAAGGCGAGGGATGGCTGACAGTAAAAAAGGCGAGGGATGGCTGACAGTAAAAAAGGCGAGGGATGGCTGACAGTAAAAAAGGCGAGGGATGGCTGACAGTAAAAAAGGCGAGGGATGGCTGACAGTATTATTCTGTGTATGTGACGGAAAAGTACTTACTTCTCCTTGAACGATGGGGAACATCTTTTTGGGATCGACGCCCATGCCGGTGAACTTCTTATGGCACCTGGCAATTGTGCTAGGAGGCAGCGTGGGCGTGCGGCCGAACACCCAGGCAAACTCTGCCCTGAATCCGAAGTACTCGAGGCAAGAGTAAACGCAGGAGTAGGTACGATAATCTGTTGCAATGATCTGTTGGTGGATGCAGCATGGTAAAAGCTTGCGGCCAGATTAAGACAGAAAAAGATAAACAAAACTGATAAAAAAAATGAATAACCTAAAATAAATCTGGAATAGAAAAAAGGGGGAGAATAAAATGAGGGAAATCTAGCGAAATCGATAATCACAAATGCTTTACATAGTTTAGGGGAACTTCGACGTCCAGTGGATATTAGAATACATTTTATCTTACAAGATGGAAAATATTTTGAGACAGTGGACGCACAAAATGACACAGATGAGCTGACCTGGTAAGGTGCTGCGGGCACTCCCGAGGCGTCGACGGTCATGTACGCAGGGTCTGGCTTCTCCACATCATAATCCTCCACGTGCATGACGGCTCCCTGGCGAACCTTCTCGTCCTCGTCGGTCAAACCCCGGGTCCCCACATTCATGTACTCCCCTGTAAAATGCAGGAACCTTCAAGGGACTCAATCACAGGGAAAGACTCGCCGAAAACAAATAATGAGAACTCGTCCAGAGGAGAAGGCACTTCCCATCAGGAAGCACCGGCAATAAAATTAATCGGGGATTAGCGGGTTGGAGAGGAAGGAACTCGCGCACGAGGCCGAAGCCCCACCTACAACCTCGCTGCTTTGATATGCGCTGACCGGCTGTCCAATAACTCATTATTAAACACGAAGACCGTACGTACGGCTTACTATACTCCCTCGTCGATAAGCAAATCAATAAATGCCTACTTCCTAGAGTCAGTTTTGATGCTACATAGTTGCTTAGGCTGAAAAGTAAACAGTAAATACAGAATAATAAAGATGTGTGTCACAGCGCTGTGGATAGAAATTGTCAAAGCAATAATATATCTTGAAAAAGTAACTTTCGCAAGAGAAGTGTCAGACCGGCTGCTCGCGAGACACGTGGGCCTGGAAGAGCAAGAGTGAGATGACATGAAACATGAAACAAAATGAAAACAGAAAATTTGTTTTATGATCAACAGTAGACATATTATATTAGTCCTTCTTTAAATTAAGAGTAAATTAATTTAAATACAAAATGTGCCCATCATACATTAATCAAGATTCCTTTTTATGGGTCATTCCTCCTACCAAATCAGATATTAACCAGCTTATGAACGAAAAAAAAATACATCATGTTTTACTCCTTACTATAATTATGCATAAATACGCTGAAGGAGAGAGATTTCTTACTATATCATTAAAAAAATACCTTAAAACGTAGGCAAGGAAGACAGAACAATGTATAATGAGAAATTTACACTCATTTCTTTCTAATGAAGTAGAAAAAGACAGGCCTACATTTTACAAACTTAAACTTGGTCTGAGACTATCAACAGAACTGAAATGTGAACCTTAGGAAGGACAGCGATGAAAACAAGAACAGCACGGCACAAGTATAATATAAGAACAGCACGGTCATACACGGAGGCCTTTTCCTCAAAACATCTGAACAAACCAAATGCGAGAATATAGCAAAAAGCCGGCCCTGATACTTACCGGTCCAGGTGTAGTTCTGAGTTACGCATTTCTTGGTATGTTGGTACTGGTTGGGGACGCTCTCGATGTCGAACCAAAGACCCGCATACTGCAACGCAAGAGCGACGGGTGGGTATTCAGTCATGAGATCCCAGTCCGTAAAATAAAAAATATATATGTACGAGCTACTTTTTAAAAGGAATAAACAGAAGAAGATTACCAAAACATATCGAAAAGTATTTCTCCCTCTACTCTTTCCCTATCTCTCACCCGCTTTCTATACCCCTTCCTTCCTTCCCTCCCTCCCTCCCTCCCTCCCTCTCCCTGCGTTAGCGTCTATTAACGTCAATCAGTGTCTGTATCCACAAGTCTGCATTAGCTCTGTTTTATGTCCATATTCATCCATATCTGCGTCTCCGTCCCTATCGATCAGATCAAGCAAGACGCTTACGAACGCAAATTAGAAGCTAGATTTTTCTCTCGGAACGAATACATCGCGATAACTGAGTCGCACGCCCACGGTGACCGAAATCGAATCAGCAAATGACGTATGCAAAGCGACGATGGCAATTCGATATCGAGTGACGTTCGTTTTTATTCAACAGCACGATAGGAGCGGGA